AATCGTCTGCTACTGCATAAAAGATACTGGCTCTGTTTAACTCAGAAGGGGCTCAGAGGAGAATAAACGATGCCATTTAAGCATAAAGTTGTGCCAAAGATGAGCAATATTTTTCTAATTTTGAGTAAGTTTCTCCTCAAAGGAAGAGAACATGGAAGCCGTAGGTTAGAAAAAGAGCACTTTGCCCCCTCCACCAGAATTACTGTGCTCACTGTGGCTATGTATGGGCTTAGGTCGGAGCTTTTCCTCCTGGGTGTAATATGGTTTGAGCACAGGGACTTTCCTGTGCTCAGGAGTCTTCAAGTCTTAAGTTGCTTTTTTGACTTTGTAAAATAACTGTTTTTCTTAAAGGAAGCACCTGGAAAATCTGTTCCAGTAAACTAGTTCCACAGTCAAACCAGTACATTTTCTCAGTTCAAGTTCATTTGCAGCTGAAATTGCCCTGCTTCCAGACAGCAATGGTTCAATAATGGTGTTGATAACTCTGACGTACTGGTCCTGAAACATATCACACTTAAAAGTAAAGGTGGTTGCATGCTCAGGTGGGCATCTAGTGGAAAGGTTTCACCTAAGAGAAGGTATTAGCTGGCCTCGCTCCCCTGCTGCATTGTGGCCTTCACTCTTTGTCCCAGTACAGATTGGGGATTTTGTTTGTTAGTTTTTTTGCACGTGTAATAATGGATTGTTTGGGCAAAATTCAGGCTGATGGGGCTTGGCAGATGTTTGTCTGAAGGTGCTGTGGGCAGTGATTCAGCCTGCTCTCCACTGCAGGACTCAGAGGTATGTCAGGTTCCTTCCCGTTCTCTGTAGTTTCGGTGGGGCTCCTCTAATCCTGCCCTCTCTAGTGTTTGTAGGGTATCAGAGCACAGTGTTATGGTGTGGAAATGGACATCTGCAGGTATGTGTTGGGTATTGTGTAGCAGGGGAGACTGCAACATGACATCATTGTTCTGTAGACCCTGCGGTGCTAAGGGTCTGGGGTGCTTCACAGGTTTCTACTGGGAATGTCAGGGTTTAGCCAAACACTTATTCTGAACCAGGAAACAGAAATATTTTTAGTTGAGTTCTCTCAGGTTTGTGTGGGAATTGGTTTTGAACCAGTTTTCAGTTCAGTTTCAGTTTCCCTGCCAGCATTCAGTGTGTTTAACACAAACCAGAGAGAAAGAAAATTCATGGCGGAAAAATGTGCCAGGGAACAGAGGGGCAAACCCCATGAAGCTTATCATAGAATCACAGAATCAGAATGTTTTGGGTTGGAAGGGACCCCTAGAGGTCATCTAGTCCAACCCCCCTGCAGTGAGCAGCGACACCACTAACTAGATCAGGTTGCTCCGTAGGCTGAGTAGGCTGCATTGTCTGGTTTAGAAGTTTTATAAAATCAAATCAAATCAAAACGGATATATGTAGAAACAAGCACATCTGGGAGAATACTCTGCTTTGAAGAATTAGTTAAACATCGTATGAAATAGTTACCTAAACGAAGATGTTGTGTTGGAGACTTCTAGGAAGCGTATTCATTCATTTTTCTTTATTATGAAACTAAGTGCAAAGATAAGGAAGGTCCAGATACGCTGAATCATGCAGTATAAAGGAGTGCTGTGTTTAATGTTATTTCAAGTATGTGTACAGAAATAGATGCCGTTTCCAGAAGTGAGTACATTTTTTTGTGTGTCTGTCACTTTTATTGTATTCACTAACAACAGGCTTGTTCCCGCAAAGATAACACTGAAGTGGAAAATTTAAGAAGCCAATCCTCCGTTTCTTAGAAATGTCTCCAGAGAGGATAATGTCAAATACCAGTATAGCCCTTTGCCATTAATGCTTGGTAAAGGTTCAAAAGAGTTTCTGTCTGTAAGGTCAAGAGGGTTCAGATAATTAGATCACAGAACAGGCAGGCGCCTTGCACCATCCCATCATTTTTCTTGCACTGCTGCATATCAATACCACAAATAAATGGGGTTTTTTTTTTTGCTCCCACTTGTGTGTTGAAGGTTCTTTTGTCAGTGTCCAGAGTTCATGTTTAAAATGGCAGGTTCTTGCTACATTTTTTTTTTCCTTTGAAGACCTAGGTGGAGGAAAAGATTAACTAGTTGTTTCTTTTTTGACTCCCCATTCACCAACACAATATTGCACACAAATTTTAGAGAAAAATGTTAGCATTGTAATTAATCTATGATTCATATCCAGTTAGAAATTTACAGTGTACTTTATATTGGAGGTAACTTTAACTGCCAAATATTGGAAAAGTGTCATTGATTTATTTTTAGATACTGATTTTTTTATAAAAGCGCAAGCATTGTACTGAGAAAGGACCCTATAGCACAGGATTTGTTCTAATCTGGAATTGTAAATATTGTCTGTCTCTCTCTTTTCTGTAGTATTTATATGGAAGTAATCGAAAAGACAACATATTTATTGATCCAATCTACCAGACGTTTGAACAGGAATTAAATAAAATCCTTAGAAGTTGGCAGCCAAGCATACTTCCAGATGGTAATATTCTTTTTGGTCATGTATGTTTTTCATCTCTTAATAGTTCTGTATTCTTAAGCATGTAGGTGTATACAAACATTTTATGTACTGAGATAGTAATTGATTAAAAATCATAACGATCTCGTCTAAGAGCTCAGTTAAGACTGTACCTGTTCTTATTGTCTTGTTTCTTGGTAATCCATGCTGCAAGAGTTGATTTTGCCACTGCCTGTTAATCTTAAATTGACTATCCATTTTTAGGAGAGAAAGTTAGAATAAGCAGCTGCTCTTCAACCTGTACTTTCTACCTGAGCTGAGTTTATTTTTTCGCCCATTTTTTTCCCAGATGGGAAGCAGGCAGGCTATGTGTGGGTAGGGTGAATGAGCTATGTATTTTAGTCTTTCTCAGATGGATTGGGAGGACTCTGCTATGGGCCTTCTGCTCAGGAGGATTTCTCACAGTCCTCTCTTGAGGGAGGGCTTGTCCTGACCAGCCCCTTTCTTCTCTCTTCTTGATACTGGCTTTTCTCAGTATAGCTCTGGAGAGCCTCTGTATAGGGTCCTGCCCATGCCCTGATGTGGTCCAGGAGTGCTTTCCAAGTGAGGTATCCATTAGCAATAAGAAAGAAGAAGGTATAGCTATTTGGAGGCCTTGCCTGAGCAGAATAAAATGAACTCAAAAATACACTTTTTATAAAGGGACTAAGATTAGCCCCTTGAACATCTGTTTTTATGTAATAACATGAGGGAGCTGCATGTAAGCAGTGCTGTTGTAATGAAACAGAAATGTGTTCTGTGTGAAATTGCCTATACTGATATTTCCCATTGACTCTTCCTGAAACAGTGAGTGTCTGCGTCTTTAAGAGGGGGTTTTGAAGGTGTGGAAATATCATTAAATATGCTTATTAGAGGCTTCTGTCATGAGCATTTTGTTAAATTTTACAGTAAACAGAAACTTGATTCTTTTGCACCTGGACAGTTTATGGGCTAATCCATTGTATTTTCTCTAATCTTCTTTTTCTGAAGGATCGATATTCTCTCGAGTTGAAGAAGATTACCTTTGGAGAATTAAACAGCTAGGATCACATTCACCGGTTGCTCTTCTGAATACTCTGTTCTACTTTAACACTAAATATTTTGGCCTGAAAACAGTGGAGCAGCACTTAAGACTTTCTTTTGGCACTGTTTTTAGACAGTGGAAAAAAAATCCTCTAACAATGGAAAGCAAAGCTTGTCTTCGATATCAAGTGTCTTCCCTGTGCAGAGCTGATAGTGAAGGTACTATGGCAGTTCCAAAATAAGTACTGCAGGAGCATCCACATTGCGCTCCTCTGAGGGGTATCTGGGCACCTTGCCAGGAGCCAGAGGTCTGCCTTTGCATAAAGTTTAGCAGCTCTTGACTCCAGGATCTTTATTCGGAGCGTATGGATCGTGGAGACTACAGGGTCTCTGCATTAAATGGTCCCTTTGAGCCCACTGGTCTCCATGCTAAATGCGGTGACTTTGTTGTGGCTGTGGGTTGCATTTCCAGTTTGCAGATGTTTATAGCTGTGGTGACTGCACTGCAGTGCTTGGTGGGCTGCCCACTCTGGGATGTTTGCTGAAAAATGTAAAATAACTTCAAATTATGGCTTAGATGTTGTTGGTTTTCTTCTTAAAGATAAAATTACTACTGGAAAAAGGAAACATGAAGATGATGAACCAGTATTTGAACAAATTGAAAACACGTCTGATCCGGCTAGATGCCCTGTGAAAATGTTTGAGTGCTATCTGTCTAAAAGGTACGTATGCTACGGAGTAATGCAGAAGTGGTGTAGAGTAGACCAGGTACAGAAGGGAACTGCTTTGATGCAACGTGAAAGGGACTCAAACAAAGGGAATGGATTGAGATCTTCTGAAAAATAGCTAAATGAAAGCATTGCAATCTCCAGTTCTGTATCTGGACAAGACATGCAGAAAGTGTGGGAGCAGCAGAGTACTTCAGTGTTAATTGTCAAGGACTCCATCTGGTAATGACAGTATGATTCAATTTTCTTGGAAACACCAAGTATCTCTGCGGAGAATTACCAGCAAGGGATCTGGTAGGTTTTGCTACTGAGGGTTTCATTTGTGAGGTCCCTGTCTCTTCAGTAAGAATTGGCTTGAGACAATGGATTTGCTTAACGTTGTTATCAGGAATTTGAAATGTAGATGCTTTTGAGATACCTGGTTTGAATGCATGTTTAAAATATTTTGTAGTAGAGAAAAATACTACTGACAGTAACCCAGCATTTAGAAATAGCTTGTTTCCTTCCAGTCTGCACAGAAATTCATACATTAAAAAAAAGCTTAGGCAACTCTTCAAAAAAGAAAAAACAAACCCCAAACCAAACAAACCACCCACCAATTTAGCAGCTAAGTGTTTTGGAAGTGTTTGAAAACAGGATTTCATGGGAAATAGTTTTCCTTAATTGGAACAGCCATTCAAGCAACTTATTTTAATGGAGATTTTATGTAACTCGAAGTGAAATAAAAGCAAGTGATACCAAAGACATAAAATCACATTGTATATACAACATGATAAGGCAAATGAAGTATGAGACCCAACGTGTTAGGAAACAGCATATTATTCGTAGAAGTGAAGAAAGAGCTTACACACAATGTAGGCAGAAGAGCAAGTATGTGATATTATAGAGAGAAACAGGTAAAGAGTAACTTGTGGTCGTTAATGCAAGCACCTGTTTTTCATAAACTCAGTTAATTCTGATTGTTGGGGGGCGGGAGGGTTGCCTTCGCACTGTCCACTGTCATGATTTGGAGAGGATATATCGTTAAAAGTTGAAGCTGGATTTTTGAACTGAGTTACACAGCCAGTAGCGGGGAGAGAACAAACAATTTCTTTTTCCTTAGAAACATCTCGGCTTTGGGGAAGAGAATGCACTTAAACCCATTTGGAGCATTGTTTATATTGTGGTTTCAAGTCCTGCTCTCTTACAGATATTGGTCACCACTGCTGGTGAGAGCAGTAGACTGCTTCTCCTGGTCCCAATTCTAGTAACATATACCTCGCATCTGTGATGAAATAATTTTATTAAAATATTTAACACTTTAAAAGCTGCTGTTAAATTTAAGGCTATGCTAACTGTCTGAAATATACTTGGCAGTCAGTGGACAGTTGCAGCTGAAGTTTTAGGATCCTCTCATTCACAGCTATGAGCACTATATCATTGCTTGTTCCTATAAAAACACTGGCTTGTCAAAAAAGTAGGAAGGGAGTTAAAATATTTAAATTATTAGAATATTTTAAACTATCATACTTTGCCTTCTTATCTGACTCTTAATCTGACCTATGTGAGAGAGTAGAACAAGCCAACATTCACTCCAGCAGGTGAAGAGCAACACCTGAAATTTTATCAGCTAGTGTGGGAAGACAAGCTGGTAAAAATTCTTATTTTTACCAAACAAGCTTGAAATACAGTTGACCTCTGAAGTCTGCAGGATTTTTGAAGGACGGAGCATGAGTGAGCACTTGTATGTACAGAACTGAAAATTATTTTCTGAGACTTGCTTGAAGAGACAAAATGCCAGAATCTTCTTGAGGGGTCTTCTCTAGTGGCTTAGAGGATACGTCTGAGCTAGATCAAGCATGTGTATGAACTCCAAAGTATAGCAGGTCAGGAATTGAAGGACTGTAAGATTTATAGTGACCAACCCTTGAAGTAAAATAGGAGGAAAAGGAATTTTAGCTTTTATTTCTGTGCATCTCTCAGAACTACCATTCCTTGACTTTCAAGGGAACTCCAGGCTCTGTATTCAAAGATAGCTGCATCAGCCTGTGGTGCAAGCAGTTACTGGTGTCAGTGTTGGGCCTCTTTGCAAATCTGTTGATCAGGGGTTTCTAAATGGATAGAAAGTACTTTCTGGTTTAGCAAGTCCTGGAGCTGCAAATTTTGGAAAGCTGGAAGAGTCTGTGGTCTCCTGTGTGCTTACTCAGTCCCAGGCATCTGCTTTTGGCTGTTCTGAGGATGCGGGACTGGCTGGGCTTGGCCAGACCCGGCACAGCTCTAGGAACAAAGCCAATTTGAACCACATTTCTCGCCATTAATCTTCTTTTTGTAACTTGCCTAAGTACAGAGTTTTGTTTACAGAAGATGTCAGAAGTGCTAACATATTGTTTTGTCCTGGTTTTCTAACCCCCTGCGTTTTCCCCCTTTGTAGCCCACAGAATCTGAATCAGAGGACAGACATGTTCTATCTGCAACCAGAGTGCTCTGTCTCTGCAGAGAGCCCCATCTGGTACACTGCCACTTCACTGGACCGCAACACTTTGGAAAATATGCTCGTACGGGTTCTTTTAGTAAAAGATATTTATGATAAAGACAATTATGAACTGGATGAAGACATAGATTAAAACACACTTCCAAAAACCGTCAAGAAAACAAACAGCATTAGATATAGTCATGCTGCTAGACCTTTACTATGGAAAACATTTCAAGTTTACCCTTTGTTTTATGAGTTTTGTAGCAGTGTGTACCCTCACCTGGGTATTACCATGTAAATAGTCTGTGAGTGAAAGTTTCCATTATTCTGCGTAGTGGTTTTAGGATACATAACAAACACATTTCAGATTCTTTTTTTATTATTTATTTGATTAGGTATGTTTGTAACTTTTTACATTGCAAAATATGAATGAGAATGTGCCATGTGTAATTTTTTTTTTCCCCTTGTAGTAAGAGACATCCGTATTGCACAACTCTGCTGTTGGAAGCTCCCTTGAAAGGAGGCTCTTTTAATGGGTTCTTAAACCAGATGGTTGTGTATGGGTAGCACTACTAAAGTTTAGAAGTTGCTGTGTCTTTCAGAATTTTTAAATAAATTGTAAACTAATAGGTTTTTTACTTTTTAGTTACTGAAGCCTTATAAGGTTATGTAGAGAGATTCCATCTTCTGTACCAAAAATAGACAAAAGAGAATGCTGTCAATATTGGTGTACTGTAATGTGAATCTATTCTGGTGAAAACATTTTTTTTGTTGCCCTTATTAAAACCTTAGTGTCCTTTCCTTATTTGTGACTCTCTCTCAATTGCCCCTACAAATAAAATATATATATATAAAAAAATAAATGAATATAAGCTTAAAGCATGTGGTCATCAAGACATGTATTTTGTAAAAACCAAAACCCCTCAAAAAAAAAACAAAATGAAAAAAAGAAAAAGAGAAAAGAAATGTCTGATGACAATGCTATATAATTCTTTTCTTCCTTTACTTCTCCGACCATAATGCCGGTACCTCATATTACTGTAAATCTGTCCTTTGTAGCCTTAGCAAAAGGGATTTTAATGCTGTATTACATAAAGTAGTATGGTATGCTAAATTTTTAACTTTTGTTTGTCCTTGTGTTGCTGTATTTAAATACAGTCAATACTTGACTATGGGTGGGAAGATTCTTTTAACTTAATGCCTCCATTCAAAAGCCATATGAGATGTGAAGTTGCAGAAAGTTGAAAGATAATTTTTTTGAAGAAAAGTCCTTTCATTTGTTCTATATCCTTTCATTGTGCTTACTTTGCATAAGGAGTCTGATTTCCAGATACACATTTAGCTGCTTAAGTTTTGTTACTTGCTCTTGTTTAACTGATGTGAGCAATATGGTGGTTCATGAAATGGTTTTGCTATTGTACTGAAAAAAATGTAGTACAATATTCTACTATCAAGTAATCCTAAGTTTGGCTCTCCTAAATGACATTAAGCATCTGTTGAAAGGAATCATCTACTAAAGGGGAAACTTTCTGTGTATATATATTACCACCTTAAGATCTATTTCTTTCAAGGGCTGCATGGCTGTTTCATTTTCCTTAGCTTAAAAGAATGCACATAGGGACACCTCTTTCTATATAGAGAAATAAAGCTTCAGTTGCTTTGTTTTGTTAAGCAAGTTTATTTAAATTTCTGCTATTCTTGTGTGTCCATGAGTACATATTCACTTTAGATACACCACTATTTCAAAAGCAGATGGAGATGTACGTGTTTAATTTTTCATTTTTTTCTCTTGATTCTACCCTTCCTGTGAAATCAAGAAATACTACGCAACACCAGTCAGTAGATCACGAACAGCTTCAATGCTCTTTTCCCTTCGTGAGTAAGTACGTAAGAACTTAGTTCATTAACGCTTGTTTTTTTCAAGCAACAGCCATAGAATGTGCCCACGGTACATAAAAGTGATAAAATCGGAAATCGTCATCATGGTTTTGTTCTGGCCTCTCCAGCTGAACACCTGACTTGACCATTACTTAGATTTTATGTATAGAATCATCGTTACTAATTACCTGCCTGAAATGCATCATGTGCTTAACTTGAAATACTTCATCTAAACATACATTTCAGGGTTTTTATAAATAGTAGTAAGGATCACTTGTAGCCCCTTCTCCTTAGTTCAGAACTTCAAGTCCTTCAGCAGGGGCTTTAATCCCCTCCCTGTTGAGGACAGTGTTTAACTACAAACACGCTTTTGTGAAACTACAAACTTTTGACGTGAAGCTTAAAGTACCCTAGATCAGGACTAAAGTTAATTGTGTGTGTTGAGTGTTTTGTCTTAAACAGAGTTTAAATTCTTGTTCTCAAAACCAGATTACAGCTATTTCCTTAATAATAAGGTCAGGTTTTGATATGGCATGCTGTACAACAGACGGGCATTTTCAGTGCCATTAGAAAATTATTAATTCTCCCTGAAGTTTATCAGAAATCACATTATTACACTAAATTCCTCCCATCATCTACCCAAGATTCACCTTACATATCAGTAAAAATATTGAAGTTAGGTTTTGAAACGAGAATTTTTCATGTAGATCCATGTTGGAAATATAAAGATGGTTGTCAAGAAAACAGCTTATTCCAGAAGATGAAGCTATTCCATCATCAGCAATAATGTTTTCAAGTCTTCAGTGTGTTTAGATTGAATGTTGTAAACTGCTGGGATATTGCAGTCAAGAGTGCATCATGGCTCAATGTATGCGTTTTATTCCTAAATTTGAATGGTGATGCAAAATGCAATAAAAGGCCTTAGTTCTGAAAAAATAAAGACACACAATTTTATGATAATTAGGAATTTGGGGCAAATACCATTTTCTTTGTAAGAACTGTCAGGAGCTGGACTAGAATCAGGTCAGTGTCACTGAGTTACCTGCAGGTTGCTGTGCAGGAAAACGTATCATGCCCTGTTCTACACAGTGCTTCCAACTAGTGATACGTAGCGGGAGCCTGCCCTCGCTCGCCGCCTTCGGAGGGTGCAAAGCGGCAGCGGGGCTGTTCCCGCCATCCCCTCAGCTCTGGCACAGCTCGCCTGAGAGACGCAGAGCGGGGACTGAGCTGCTCAGCCTGCACCGAGCCCTGCAGGCGGTGCTGGCAACGCCGTCCGGCCTAGACGGGATTTTTCCTGACTTCTGCGATGGTGCCAGCATGTGCTCTGCATCTCCTCCGTTTGAGATCCAGTTCTGAACAATTCACAGGTGAAGCAGTAGCCTCAAGATCCTAAGGAAATTAGACAGCAGCAGTAGGCAAACTGCATACAAAACATAGTTCAGTGTGAGAAACAGTGAAAAATTAATGCAATTTTCAGAAAAGAAGCTTGCCTTATTAGTCATCTTTTTTTCTATAAATAATTGTGTGCAGTCATAGAGGAAAATGCAGCTTTTTGCGATTACTGAACTAAGTGTAAATTATAACAGTTGATTTCTATTGAACAAAAGGTGGTTGTGGAGTAATTTCAATGTGTATAATACTAATCATCTTCAAAATGTTCAGTGTCACTCTCTAATGCAGCAAAATTTGTTTTCTTAGTATCTAGGGCTATGGCCTGTGAGAGGCTGAGGTGGGAAAGCAGGAGAGGTGGCCCATAAACCTTGCAGGCTCAAAGGGAGGAGGTGTGCGGGATGGAAGGGCGAAGGCCTGAGTGGTGGTAGGCACTCTCCCCATTTCCATTTTTGCTGAGTTTTTTTTATTGTATAGAAGTGGTTTTTTTCTGTTATACTTTCCCATTTTTGTTACTGTTAGGAAGGGCAGTTAAGTATTTTAATTTCTATTTTGATGAACATTCCCTTTTCAGTTCGTTCCACTCTGTTGTGCATTATGTGATATGGGTTACATGTAAGATGGAGTATGACACAAGGCAAGTGGAGTGGGAGCTTTTTGATTCCTCTTGCACCGAGTATGGGGAATCTCAATAAAACTGAAATTCAAAGTGTTTTCAGGCCAAGAAGTTGTCAAGATTTAAAAGGGTGTTGGACGCTCATATGTGACTCTCCGGGTTATAATGGCAAATCCTAACGATGCTTTGGAAGCACTGAAGGTTGAGTTACCCTTAGTTTGGGGTTATAGCAAAGCCGTAGGGTTCGTGTGAGGGGCCTGAATGTGGCTGCAGTGCTGGACACGCTGTCCCCACAGGCTTGGTTAATCGTGGCAATTTCCCATTTCTCAAGTCAGAAATATATCTTTCGTCTAGCAGCTTTTTATTTTGAAATATTGAAACGTGAAAGCCTCAGCATATGAGCCATGGCATGGATGCTTGAAACCAGCATGTAACGGGACACATGCTTCAAAACTTAGGCTGGTGTTAGTGTCTGTAGCACTAATTAGGCATCTCTTTGGACACCCACAAGCACAGCAGGCGTCTCACGGACATACAGAGATTATGTGGGGATTAGTGCCTGCTCGTTGTGCTACTCAGGTCAGAGCTGGCAGCCTCTGGCGAGCGGCTCTGCCTTGGCAGGACCCCAGCTCGCTGCGGGCGGGCGCTGGCGGGCAGCGCTTCCCTGCAGGCAGGGCAGAACCTGCGCTCAGGGCATCTCTTGTGCTCTTTCCTTTGCCGTCAGTTTGCTTCAAAGTTTCTTGCTGTCGGTCTCTGACAGAAAATGTGTGACTGCAACATGAGCCAAGTTTGTGACTGGTTGCAAAATAAGCCTTGGGCATGGGAGGAGCTGAGATTAAAATTCCACCTCTTCCTTATCCCTTAATAAGGCATAATTGCACCTTAATATTACTTTTACAAAATCCTCCCCTTTCCCCACCCCAGTTCTCACAGGCAAAATACCAGAAAGGATTTGAGCGGGATACTAACATAGTAAAGAGCTTCAGGGAGACAGACAGACAGATAGATAGATATGTGATGGTGACTAGACAAGGTGGTATTGGTGTGCAAGGAGAGCGAGCAAACGCTCAAAGAGAAGGGACAGAAAAGATTGGCATTTTGAGCAGTTAACGGGATTTAGGAGCACGGGTTTAATTCATGCTCTGATGATCCCTTCCGAGCTTCTGTCACCCATTCCAACTTCCCGCAGAGCCTGGCTCGGAGGATTTCACCCAGTGACTGCTGTGTGCTGTCAGAGGACATGGAAATGAGGTACATTTTTAAAAGTGCTTAGTCCGGCTAGTTGTATTTTCAGGATATCAGTATGTTGGTGTTTCCAAATGCACATATCTGGGAAATATTTGTATTTCCTCACCCAAGAACCAGTTGTCCTCATGGAGTAAAGGCACTGATACAGCAGTCGTGGCACACTTGCATGTGCATAATCCAAGTAGGGAAGGATGCAGTTAAATCGCTGTATTGTGTCCCAGGTACTGGTACCAGTGAGGCATCACAGCACTTCAACTAATTGTTTAATCAAATGGTTTTTTACCTCCAGTGTCCTATTTTTTTTTTCTTTTTTTGTGAAATGAAATGAGAAAATTGGAAGATAGCAGAGTCCTTGGAAAAAAAAATCCTTCAAGGACACCATCGTCTGTTGCTGGCAGGAGGTTCTGAGACCCTCTTTGTTTGTCATAGCTGGGAAAAGCAGCCCAGATTGTTGCTCCCCTCATGAAGCATGGTTTCACCCAGGTAAAACAGTGTTGGCAACACCTCTGAGCAGAACCATTTCTGCAGAGGTTCACAAAAAGCAAAAAGAGAAAGAAAATTAGAAGATTCAAGTTCAACTTTGATTTCTCATTGAAGTAATTTTTCAGGCTCCAAGGGTGTGAGTATGAATGGGACTTGAACATGATCTGAGTTTTGCTTTCTCTG